CCTTGAAAGGAAATCCTCTGTAAGAGTGAGGGCGCATGAGGCTCGGAGGGCTGTTTCATGAACTTCATGATGGCCTTTCAGGGCTGGGTACGTCCATTCAGGAGGGGTGTACCATTCAGATGCCAAAGGCAGCTCAAAACAACAACAACAAAAAAACCTCACTACCATCAAGTCATTTCGACTCATAGTGACCCCTCCTTGGGTTTCCAAGGTGTATCTCTAAGGAAGTAGATTGCCCAGCCTTCCTTCCAAGGAGTGGTTGGTGGGTTTGAACCTCCAGCCTTCTGGTTAGCAGTCAAGTGCCTTAGGCACTACGCCACCAGAGCTCCCTAAAGGCAGCTGGCTCTGATGGAATTCATCAGAGAAATGTATCCATTGCTTTACTGTTCTTGTTAGTTACCATTGACTCAGCCCCAACTCCTGGTGATCTCATGAGCTGTGGAAGCAAATGTTGCCTAGTCCTGCACCATCTTCATGACCATTGGTACTTTTGAGTGCATTGTTGTGGTCTTTGTGCCAGTCTATCTCACCAAAAGTCTCCCACGCTCTCACTGGCCCTCTGCTTCACCAGACATGCTCTATCCCTCCTCATGATGAGCCCAAAGCTCAAGCTGGACGATGTTCTATTGTGATCTTTAGGGTTCCCCACTGGCTAATTTTTGGAGGTAGATTACCAGGCCTTTCTTCTTAGTCTGACTTAGTCTGCAAGCTCTGTTGAAACCTGTCCACCAAGGATAACCTTGCAGATATTTGAAGTACCAATGGCATATCTTCCAACATCACAGCAACATGCAAGCCACCACAGTAAACAGACTGGCAGGTGAGTAATGGTACATAGCTTAGGAAGCAGCTTGAGGCACTCAATAAATATGAGGTGGAAAAACCTTTTCTCTGTTTCAGTCTGTGGCCAGACATCCCCCAGAGGACTATGGATTTGAAGTAACCCCTATAAGGTGATAGGGATAAATAACTACAAATATGGGGTCTATTTATGGTTAGTGTGTGTTTTGTAAAGAAAAATGCTACCAAATAAAGTGCTGAAGGGGAAGGCTTGGATAGAGGTGCAGCCCTGGCTCCCCTCGGACTGTGGCTGGGGCATGGGCATCTGATGCCTTCCTTCTGCGTCCATGGGAAGTAAGCCACAGCACTGCTGTTTTTCCAGTGAAGCCCAGGCCATATTTTTGCCCTCCATTTTCCAACTGAGGCAGAAACAGTCCAGAGGGGTCCTGTCAGGGTACTGTCATGGGTCCTGTCAGGGGTCCTGTCAGGGCTATGTGATCGATTCAATAGTATGGTAACTGTCTGGATCTACAATGAATGGGAAGAATCAGACACTGGAAAGGCTGCAAGGGGAGCATCAGCCCGCATCCATTATAGCTGCCCTGGGCTCCTCTCAGGTTTTCTGAAAACAAATTCATCAGCCGCAAGTGGTGTGGAAGGAGAGGCTGGGTCTGAAATCCATCCCTGACGAGTCCAAGGGGCACCAGCTTTCTTCCTGGATCTATTCTCATGGGGTCTGTGATCTCACTGCTGACTGGCATGAGCCCTCCGAGGAGGTATTGGGGGTCCGCCAGCAGGAAGCCTGGTGCTTCCTGCATTGCCGACCCCGCAGGACCCAGTCGCTTCGTACCAGACCAGACACAAAATGGGCATCCTCTTTGTCAGCAGCTCCAGCCCAGTTCCCAGGACCCCCTCGAGGCCCTCCTTCCGCAGCACGCTTTCTCATTAAACTCCTGCTGTCCCTGGTCCTCAGGAAAGAGTCCCTTCACCTTTCATTCAGGGTCCAAGTGCTTTTTTTGTTTGTTTGGTTTTCATTGCAAAGGTAAGAGATTTGGACCCAAGATTCTCTATGGTTGCTTCCAACTGTAAAATTCCGTATCTGTGTGATTCAAACTGTCCTATCCCAGTTTCTGTAGGACTATCAAGAGCCATGGTCGCCGAGCAGTTAAAGCACTCGGCTGCTAACTGAAAGGTCAGGGGTTTGAATCCACCAACCACTGAACCAGAGAAGGTTGTGGCAATCAGCTTCCATAAAGATGACAGCCTTGGAAACCCTGTGGAGTGATTCTGCTCTGCCCTGTATGGTCACCTGGTCAACAACAAGGGTTTGGGTAGCATAGGTATTCATTTCACTCCCAGAGAAAATAATTCTCAACTGCTTTTGGACAAAGAGAAATCTCTTACACCATCCTGTCCCCAAGCCTCTGGGTGGTGCTAACGGTCTACACATGAAACCAAACCAAACTTGTTGCCATGGAATTGATTCTGACTCATGGCAATGCCATGTATAAAGAGTAGAACTGTGCTCCACAGAGTTTTCTTCATTGTAACCTCTGTGGAAACAGATTGCCAGACCTTTCTTCTGTGGTGCTGCCTGGCAATCTGCTTCCATAGAGGTTAAAATAAAGAAAACCTTATGGGGTTCTACTGTGTAACACATTGGGTTGCCATGAGTCACAGTCAATTCCACGGGTTTGGTTTTGGTTTGTTTTTAGACCATTGTGATCCATAAGGTTTTCTAAGTAGATTGCCAGGCCTTGCCTCCTAGTCTCCTCCTAGTCTGTCTTTGTCTGGAAGCTCTACTAAAACCTACTCAGCATCAGAGCAACATACAAGCCTCCATTGACAGATGGGTGGTGGCTGCTCATGAGGTGCACTGGCCAGGAACCAAACCCAGGTCTCCTACAAGGAAGCTGAGAATTCTACCACCGAACCACCACTACCCCCAATATAGGGTAGGTACAAATATGTTGTTGTTGTTAAGTGCCATCGAGTCAGACCTGACTTATAGTGACCCCTCCTTGGGTTTCCAATGTGGTATCACTACGGAAGTAGATTGCCCAACCTTCCTTCCGAGGAGTGGCTGGTGGGTTTGAACTGCCAGCCTTCTAGTTAGTAGTCAAGTGCCTTAGGCACTATGCTACCAGAGCTCCTAAGTACAAATACAACATAATGCAAATGTAGATCCTTATTTAAAAGAAAAAAAAACCTTCCCAGTTCCCAATGGTGGCTACTTTTTTGTTTGAAACTCAGTGCTCTCTGAGAAAGCAACTAGATGAATCACAATATAACCCAACAGATCCACTCCTGAGTGTAGACCAAATGACTTGAAAACAGGGCGTCAGATAAATCTACACCAGTGATCACTGCAGTGTTATTCACAACAGCCAAAAGGTAGAAACAACCCAAGTGACCAGCAATGATGGACAGATAAACAATGTGGTCCATCCATACAATGGAATGTTACTCAGACATAAAGAGAAATGAAGTCCTGATGCATACCACAACACGAATGAACCTACAACGTGATGCTGGATGAAATAAGTCAGACTCGAAAGGACAAACATTGTGTGATCACACTTAGATGAAATATCTAGACTAGGCATTGCTCTTGCGAGCCATTGATTCGATTCCAACTCATGGTGACGCCGTGTGATAGAGTAGAACTGCCCCATGGAGTTTCCTAGCTGTCATCTTTATGAGAGCAGATCGCCAGGTCTTTTCTCCCATGGAGCAGCTGGTGGGTTGGAACTGCCAACCTTTGCAGTTAGCAGCCAAGCTAGCTTTAACCACTGCACCACCAGGGCTCCTTAGGCAAATACATAGGTTTCAAATTTTGTAGTGGTGACCAGGGTTTGAAGGGAGGGAGAAATGGAGAGTTATTGCTGGAGAGGTGCTGGGTTTCTGTTGGGGTGATGGGAAACATCTAGAAAAGGATAGTGGTGACGGCGCTACACCACGGTGAATGTCATTAATGCCTTTGAAATATACCTAAAATGCTAAATAAAAATAAGGAAAAAAGCCTATAAACTTGGTGTTATGCTTGGTTAAAAAATAAGTAAATAAATAAGTGGGGACGAGCCTAGGTTGGAGAACTTAGAAGAGCAACCTCTGACCTTTGCATGACCAGCCCATGGCTCTCAAAAGAGGGCCTGACTCTCTGGGTTGGGAAGCCCTTCTTAGTGCCCCTCCCCCACCTGAGACTCCCTCTGGGGTTATGGAGCTTCCTTACAGTGCCCTCAGGCCACAGGAAGGGCTTCTTGGTTAATTAGACTACTTTTGGTTTGCTAAGGTGGTGTAGTTGTTAAGGCATTTGGCCGCTAACCAAAAGGTTTGGTGGTTCAAACCCACCAGCCATTCTGCAGCAGAAAGATGAGGCAATTTGTTTCCATAATGATTACAGCCTTGGAAACCCAATGGGGGTCATTATGAGTTGGGATTGACTTAATGGCGGTGCATTTGGTTTTACGTAATTTTAGGATTTTGACCACGTGTACATATATGTTTCCCATATATCTTGATGGAAGTGTCACAGATTGAGTTAGCATTTCCCATTTTAAGTATTTGCCAGACATATTTTTATTGCCAGCCACAGAGATATCATTCAGAACTGACATTCACAAGTTCAAAACAGTGCTCAAGTTGACCTGATTGACTTCCAGCCTGGTAGCCCACAGCACATCACTACCTCCTGTGCATTTGGAGGGCGGGAGTGTGTCTTAGCCAGCATTGCTTCCTCCAAATCCCTAGCCCAGGGCTGTGTCCTAGGAGGAACCTGACAGATGTTGGTATAATTAACAGGCTGTTGGTCCCTGTTATAGGAGACTTCAGTGGTGCAAATGGTTAAGCCAAGATTGCTAACTGAAATGTTGGTAGTTCAAATCCACCCAGAGGCACCGCAGAAGACAGGCCTGGCAATGTGTTTCTGAAAGGTCATAGCTTCAAAGACCCTATGGATCACAGTTCCACTCCACATGCGTGGGGTCACCTTGTATCAGAATTGACTTGATGGCAACTAGTAACTAGATCTATCTAAAAAATTTAGGCTAATCTTCACAGAAGAATCCTAAGCTGAATCAACCCCACTTCTCCCTGTACATTCCCAAGACAACAGTCTTTAAAGAAATCATGGACTTGTGTTCCCACTTAAGGGATGGAGTTATAACTGGGAAGTAAAATCTAGTCTCATTGCTGCTTTCTTTGTTTCCCTTCTTCCTTAGTAAGCAAATGTGGTGAGCCACCTGAGCAGATGATGAGCATGGACACTGTGGGAGAGAAGCATTTCCACTCCAGAATCCCCACAGGAACCTGGCCGAGCCCACCACCCACAGAGTCCTAAGCTACTGAAGTGATGAGTGTGCGAGATGGCAGGGGAGTGTGGCCCAGGGACCGATCAGCAGATGGCATGTGTAAACACAACACTGCTCTATCTCTTGCTGTTGCTTGCTGAACTGTGAAGAACTGCATGAACTATATCTAAGCTGCATTCTAGACCATTGCCAATTACCTGATTTTGGACTTGCAAGTACCATTTTCCTGTTGACTCTTGCGTTGTTTCATTTTGCATGTAGCCAGTGATTACACATATGCACCATAAGTAATCTGCTTATATATTTTCTAAGAAAATCCTCTCATGCAAAATGGTGAATAAAGTATAGATTCTGCTCTTTTTTTTTTTTTTTTTTGCCAAATTATAATCACCCATGCCATTGAAAGTTTAAATTGGTTTTCTATAAAGATCAGTGTCATAGGTCTGCATATACTTTATAGAAAGCTAGCTTCTATAAAGATTTTTTTCACTGTTTACTAGTGAAATGAGAAAAGCAAAATTATTTATGAAAGGCCTAATATGTACATATATTGTCTTTGAAATATTTGTGATTTAGTTTATTGCCTGTAACAGAGAAATTATATAATTTATTCAGTAAATACTACTGTAAACTATAGTTTTATTGAGAGAAATAAAATATTTTGTTCTCAATTGTGGTGGTAGGTACATTGATTCTAATAGTTTCTGGTCTTTTAAAATATATATATATATATGGAGCTCTGGTAGCATAATGGCTAAAGCATTTGACTGCTAACCAGAGAAGGCTGGTGGTTCAAACCCACCAGCCACTCCTCAGAAGGAAGGTTGGGCAATCCTACTTCCATAGTGATACTGCCTCGGAAACCCAAGGAGGGGTCGCTATGAGTCGGGGCCGACTCGACGGCACATGACAACAACAAATATATAAATATATAAATATATATATATATATATATATATATATATATATAATATTCTTGTGTGTTTTCAGTGAAAGTTTATACAGCAGTTTAGATTCCCATTCAACAATTTCTACACAGTTGTTCAGTGACTTTGACTGCATTCTTCACAACGTGTGAACATTCTCATTTTTTCAGATCTGGTTGCTCTGTCTCCAGTAATCTAGTTTCCCTGCTCCCTTGCATTCTCATCTTTGTTTTAAAGTCATTGTTGACTGTTTGGTCTCATAGGTGATTTTTTTAAAGGAGGACAGTACTCATAGATGAAGTTCTATTATCTTGTGTTTCAATCTGTTATTCAGCTAATGGGTTAGTTTCGGTTCAAGATTTGAAGAGTTTCTCAGGGTAATATTCTTGGGGAGTCCTCAACCAGTACAGTAAGTCTGGTTTTTTGTGTTTAGGAATTTGAACTTCTGGTCCTCATTTTTCCATCAGTTTCTCGTGGTCCATCTACTGTGGCCCTGATGATTTCTGGGTTTCACATTTTTCTCTTTTATAAAGAAGTAACAGGCTCTCCTCATTTCTGGATATTTGGGGATCTTAAACAAACTGAGTCTCACAGCAGATGAAAATGAAATTGGAAAATCCCTGGGCCCTGAGAAAAGACTCCACAGCAGGTTCTGCTCAACTCCTCCAAGAGGTTTTCCCAAATGTCCTGGAGTATCTCTGTTAAGGAGCTTTGGTGGGTGGCACTGTGGTTAAAGCTTTGGGCTGCTAACCAAAATTCAGTGGTTTGAACCTACCATCAGCCCCATGGGAGGAAGATGAGGCAGTCTACTTCCGTAAAGACTTACAGCTTTGGAAACTCTATGGGGCAGTCGTATTCTGTTTTCTAGGGTTGCTATGAGTCAAAATCAACTTGAAGACAGTGGGTTTGGTTTTATTTATGTTTTCACTGTGTTATGCTGAAGTAACAACCCCAAATCTCTCATCAACCAAGTTTTATTTCTCATTCACATTTTTGGGCTAGCTGCAGCTCTGTTGGAATGTTTCTCCTCTTATAACTCCAGACCTAGCACTTGACTGTACCATTGCTTTTTCTTCTGCCATGAAAGTGGCATATCCCAGATAGGAGCTGATGCTGGAGCCCAAGTGAAGATGGCACTTGGAACAGAGCTGCCACACCGAGACCCCCTGTACAACAGAATGAAACACTGCCCAGTCCTGCACCATCCTCACAGTCACTGCTATGGTTCAGCCCATTGTTGCAGCCACCGTGTCAATCCGTCTCATTGAGGGTCTTCCTATTTTTCATGGACCCTCTACTTTACCAACCATGATATCCTTCTCCAGGGAGCAGTCTCTCCTGATACCATGACCAAAGCATGAGAGAGGAAGTCTGCCCATCTTTGCTTCAGGGGCAGCAGAGACACAGGGACAGGCACACACTGGAGCCTCAGGAGACAGGATGACTAGATGTTATGTGGTGTATTCATTCCATTCTATCACACTCCACACATCACATTACCCCATTCCATTGCATTCCACTGCACACTACACTGTAAACATACATGACTCCATCATGTCACTCTGCATACATTACATTACTCCATTCCATGACCGTACACGACACAACACAGGTTACATTCTACATCACGTGACACTGCATACATCACATTACACTCTAGGACACACATTGCATTACTACCTTACATTACAGTACACTATACTACACACATTAGTGCTATTCACATCACTGCATCACATTACACTACATGCACACATGACATTTTTCACTACATTACATTGAATTACAGTCCATACACACATATTATATTAGTACATTACATCACACTACAGACATACTTTACACTCTTACAGTCCATGACACCACACTCCATTCATTACTCATTACATGACAGCAGACTGTGTACATGACATCGTTATATGACATTACATTACACGACATATAACGCATTCCTACAGTACATTACACTACACTGCATGCATTACATGATGACATCACATCTCACCACATCCATTACATGAGTACAATACACCACATACATTACTACATTATATCATATTATGTTACTACATTAGATTACATTAAACTCCTCTATTATTTCATGACATTACATTATGAAGGTAATCTCTTCTAAAAAGGCCGATAGACTAGTGTTTGGTCAGCCAACTGAGAACCACCACCAAGTTAACTCAAAGAATTCACCATCACACAGTTCCTGCTCCAGCTTCACTCACTCTGTACACTACAGTCTGCCTCTCAAAGAGCCATGTCATCCTGACCACTGAGGCAGTGTCTGTGCCCACCTCTTTTCCTCTACTCCTGATGCCCCTGCCCTGGCTCCAGGCTCACTGACTGCTGGGAGTGAGGCCACAGATTGAGACAGGGGAATTAGTCTCTGGTTTCTGCACTCCCATTCCCCCTCTACCCTGCTCCCAAACACCTGCATTCAAGTGCTCAGGGCACCCCTGGCTCCTACTAACGTTTTTAGGTGCTGTTGTGTCAGCTCTAATTATTAGTGACTCTATGTACAACAGAAAAAAACACTGCCTGGTCCTGCGCCAGCCTCTAATCCTTGCCATACGTCAGTCCATTGTTGTGGTCACTATGTCAATCCATCTCATTAACAGCCTTCTCCTTTTTTACTGGCGCTCCACTTTACCAAGCATAATAGCCTTCTCCAGGGAAGGGTCACTTCTGACAACAAGACCAAAGTAGGTGAGATGAAGTCTGGCCATTCTCAATTCCACCGAGGATTCTGGCTGCACTTCTTCAAGGACAGATTTGTTCGTTGTGACAGTCCATGGTACTTTCACTATTCTTCACCAACACCACAACTAAAAACATCAATTCTTCCTGTCTTCATTATTCATTGTCCAGCTTTCACATGCATGTGAGGCTATTGGAAATACAATGGCTTGGGTTAGGCACACCTTAGTCTTCCGAGAGACAACTTTTCTCTTCAGGACTTTTAAGAGGTCTTTGGCAGCACATTTGCCAACTGCAGTACATCATCTCATTTCTTGACTGCTGTTTCCATTGGTGCTGATTATGGAACCAAGTAATATGACATCTTTGACAACTTCAATCATTTCTCCATTTATTGTGATGCTGCTTATTGGTCCAGTTGTGAAGATTTTCATTTTCTTTATGTTGAGGTGGAATTCATACTGCAGACTTTATTCATCATCAGTAAGTACTTCAAGTCATCTTTACTTTCAGCAAGCAAAGTTGTGTCGTCTGCATATTGCAGGTTGTTGTTGAGGCTTCCTCCAACCTGATACTATGTCCTTGTTCATATGGTCCAGATTCTCAGATTATTTGCTCAGCATACAAATGGATTAAGTATGGTGAAAGGATTCAATCCTGACACATACCCTTCCTGATTTTAAACCATGCCCATTATCCCCTTGTTCTGTGTGAATGACAGCCTCCTGGTCTACATATAGGTTCCTCATGAGCACAGTTAAGTGTTTTGGAGTTCCCATTCTTCTCAATGTTATCCATAATTAGTTGTGATCCACACAGTTGAATGCTTTTGTGTAGTCAGTAAAACACAAATAAATATCTTTCTGGTATTCTTTGCTTTCACCCAAGATAAATCTGACATCAGTAGTGATATCCCTCATTCCACATCCTCCTCTGAATCTAGCTTGCATTTCTGGAAATTCCCTCTCAATATACTGCTACAACCATTTTTTAATTATCTTCAGCAAGATTTTACTTGGCATGTGCTAGCAATAATACTGTTTGATAATTTCCACATTCTGTTGGATCACTTTTCTTTGGTACAAATATTGATCTCTTCCAGTCAGTTGAGCAGGTGGCTGTCTTCCAAATTTCTTGGCATAGATGAGTAAATGCCTCCAGCATGGCATCCATCCATCAAAACATCTCAAAGGGTATTCCATCAATTCCTGGAGCCCTGACCTTTGCCAATTCCTTCAGTGTTGCCTTGACTTCTTCCTTCAATACTATCGGTTCTTGATCATATGCCATCTCCTGAAATGAATGAACATTGACCAATTCTTTTTGGTACAGTGACTCTATGTATTCCCTCCATCTTCTTTCAATGTTTCCTGCATCATTCAATATTTTTCCCATAGAATCTTTCAATATTGTAACTTGAGGCTTGATATTTTTCTTCAGTTCATTCAGCTTGAGAAATGCTGAGGGTTTTCTTCCCTTTTGGTTTTCTAACTTTAGGTCTTTGCACATTTTATGGTAATAATTGACTGTCTTCTCAAGCTGCTCTTTGAAATATTCCATTCAGCTCTTTTATCTTGTCACTTTTTCCATTTGTTTTAGCTACTCTCCACTCAAGAGCAAGTTTCTAGAGTCTCTTCTGAAATCCATTTTGATCTTTTATTCTTTTCTTGTCTTTCTAATGACCTTTTGCTTTCTTAATGGATGATGTTCTTGATGTCATCTAACAACTGATCTGGTTTTTGATCATTGGTGTTCAGTGAGTCAAATCTATTCTTTAGATGGTCTCTAAATTCAGGAGGTGTATAATCAAGGTCATAGTTTGGCTCTCATAGACTTGCTTTAATTGTCTTCAGCTTCAACTTGAACTTGCATATGAACAGTTGATGGTCTGTTCCACAGTCAGCTAGCTCCTGGCCTTGTTTTTGCTGAAGATATTGAGCTTCTCCATCTCCTCTTTCCACAGATGTAGTCTGTCTGATTCCTGTGTATTCCATCTGGTAATGTCCACACGTATAGCTGCCATTTATGTTGTTGAAAAA